AACTTTAACTTACATCAAAGATGATAAATGTTCAGTAACAGCAACAGCATGCCCCTTGTTCCAAACTATCATCCAACAAAATTTGGTTGAGGTTGGCCCAGCGACCTATGAGTAGTTAGATAACAGACAGACACACAGATTTTTGTGCATTATATATATATATATATAGATTACTTGAAAGTTTAATACAGTTAAGTTCATTTTGCTTATATCAAATTTTATGTTACTAGTAAGGCAACTTTATTGTGATATAAGACAATAATGTAATGTACAATTTTTATCAAGTCAAGTTGTTATGAAGCATATATATCTCCACAAAGTTTTTTCAATGTTGATTTGTTTTGTTTGATGAAAATGATAGAGTAATAGTTATTACTCAACTGTGCATACAATTTTATTTTAATATGTCAAAGGTTGTGGAGGAAATAAATGTTGTTGGTTTACTAGTACAAATTTTAAGTTAATAATTTTTCTTTACATCTGTACTAATTAATTTTAGTGAATAGTATTATTATTTTTTTTTTCTGTTACTGTTGTGGTAGACATGAACATTCTATACAAAATATTAAATTAAAGGTTGCAAAATACTGCACACTTCAAGAGGAAGTATGAAGTTAACCAGAAATAACCAATACAAATGAATTGATGGATCACCAGACTATAATATTTCTTGTTTGGCATTGTGCATTTATTAAACAGTCATGTATTCAGCATATTCTCAACACAAATACTCTTATTATTATAAACAGTAGTTTATGTTAATGGTAGGGAAAGAGTTACAGAATACTGTGGTATGGTATTGACGTATAATATACATATAAATATTAATATATTTCAATCTTACAAAAAATAACTTAGAAAAGACTGATATTACTTAAAATAGTTACTATGCTAGGATTGTAAGAGATAGTTTGCTTTATAACTCTCCCAATTAAACTAATTCTGAATGAAGAAATCCTGAGAATTGCCTTTCATTTTACTTGAGTTGGTAGTAAATAAGTAGTTATAGTTAGTTATAGTTCTTTTAAAGCTGTAATCATGGAACGTATACCTAACAACATCTTTGTAAGAACAGCAACAAAACAGTCAGATGTCTAAGAATATACAAACAGTGATACAAATGATGGCCATAAATAAGATATGAAACAATTGTACTGTAGGAAGTTTGAGGAAAGATCTCGTCCTTTTCAACTGAAAAAAAAAAAACTAAGTTGTAGTACCTTAATTTCCCTGTTCAAATAATTGGAATAGATTTTTATTCAGTTTCTCATTGAATATTTCAGATTTAGAAGTATTTAATATGTTGTTTTTTAAACAAAACCAGTAATAACAAAAGTATTTTTATTCTCGTATATGTGTTTGGTATCTGCTTTTTTTGGTTTTTCATGATACTCAATGTGTAACTCTGGAGAAAAATGTGTATTTAGTTTGAGAAGGTTTTTGGTATACATAACCACAACTTTACTTCTTTTGAAGCAGCTCATTTGGTTTTAAATTGTAAAAAATATTTGTTTGTTTTTTCTAGGTCATTGATCCTCGTTTAGTTTCCGTTTTTGATGCTCGTGAGTTAGAGCTTGTCATAGCAGGAACGGCTGAAATAGATATAGTAGACTGGAGGAAAAACACAGAATATAGATCTGGTAGGTGTCATTTTTTAAATAGTTTTGTTAATTCTTAGAATATTGTGTGAATAAATCCAACTAAGTGTTACAGCACTTCACCAAAAGTAACGCTTATTGATATATATGTTTACTTAAAACTTGATGCACAGTTTTTAAATATTCTTGGCTACTACATCGTGCATTGTGTTGTATGATTTAATTTTGTTATTGTCTTTAACATTTTGGTACTTCTTGGCTTTATTTTTTGTTTTTTAAGACTTATTTAAAGACTTCAGTGTTGTATACAAGGGTTTTATTATGATAATGCTACCAATTTTATATTTCTTAATTTTAAAGGAATATTGTATACAATACTTAACTGAAGACAAGCTAGTGGCACATTGAAAATTACATTTATAGAACTACTTTAAAAAATCAGTAAAACAATATCCTTTTCAATAATTGCATGTGTGTGTGTGTATGTATATATATATATATATAGAGAGAGAGAGAGAGATAGGTGGGGGGTGGGAGAGATATATTCTTGTTTAGTCTAAATACACTTTCAGAGACTGTTTGGTTTAATCTGCATAAATTTTTTAATACTATAATTTATTTTTTTATTTTGCACACTGGAGCATTCCTTATCACAATCTGAATCACATTTTAATTATTCCATAACAACCTAAGTGTATTTGAAATATATATATATATGTGTGTGTGTGTGTGTGTGTGTGTGTGTGTGTGTGTAGAATTAGCTTTTCAAATGAATTATCAATGTGTCCAACATCTAAGTGTGATTATATTTGGTATTCACAATCTTAATCTGTGAGAAAATGCCCTAACCGTAGAATTAAATGCGCTTTAGTTAGATCAGATAGTGATGAAGACTGGAGAAAGGAAATATTTTAGAAGTTTATTTTAAAGTTTTGATTAAGATATAATTAAAAAATGTTACAACAAAATTCTGATAAAGCAGTTACTGTCTTTACCTAGCTTCAGCATAAAAGTGATTTTAAGTGTGAAATACATTATACTTATTTATAAGAAAATTATAAGTTCGTATATTATTTAAATTCATTTTTATTAGTAGAAGGTACAAAATCAATCACTGATCTTAAAAGGCTGGAGTTTATTTGGATACAGAAAAGCTGGTTGTGTATAGAAAGTTGTTTTCTTTTAATATTAATAGATTCAAAAAAATAAGAATATGGTTTTATTCTAGAAGTTGAGTTATACTGACTTTTTTATTGAAATGAGACTAACAGATTAATATATCAAATAAATTAGGAAAACACCTTAAAATCCTGGAATTTTGAAGCCATTATCATATTTCATGTCTTTTCTGATCATTTTTGCAACCTTTCTGTACCTTACTATCTGTATTTTTGTACTTTTATAACACTTGTATTTGCCGGTCAGATTAACATACTAACCACTGATAAGAGGGGTTTTAGGAAATACAATAAAATAACATAAGGTTACAGTTCACAAAACTTTTGGGGCCTCATTCAGTTCACACTGTGTAGAATGTACCGGATAAGTTTTGGTAAATAACCTTCATGCAATAATGAAAGTATTTTATATTGGTCTTAATGATAAAGCATTCTTATTGAGACATTAAGTAATAAAATAGGTGTATTTGATTGTTTTTTAATATTATTATTGCTATTAATGTCATATTTTCTTTTTTTGTTCGATCACAGATCATAATTTTGATAAGTAATATATACACACATTTGAATAGAATGATTTATCATCAGGCTTATACTGAAAGAAAAAAATAATAATATTAATATTAGTTGAATTGTTATATAATTGGAGAATAATCACCCTGTTGCTATGTAGTGGTTAATTGTTTAGTGTATGTATTTGTTTGTACTTTTATCAACATTGTCATATTTGATAAATAACTTGTTTTACCAGATGAAAATGTTCTTGTTTTTTTCCTTTCTTCTTTGATTATTTTTTGAAGCTATGTATTAAAATGCATATTATATTACAAACTGGATTTTTATAATGCATGAACTTGTTGATTAGGTTACCATGACAACCACCCTGTGATCCAGTGGTTCTGGACAGCCATAGAAAAGTTTGATAATGAACGTCGCCTGCGGATGCTTCAATTCGTGACAGGAACTTCTAGCATCCCTTATGAAGGCTTCTCTGCACTACGTGGAAGTAATGGGCCACGAAAGTTTTGTATAGAAAAGTGGGGAAAACCAACTAGCTTACCTCGGTAAGTCTTTGTTTTTGTTCTTTAAGAGTTATTTCAGTCAGGTGTTGGCCAGGCATGGTCTGGTAGTTAGGGTACTCAATTTGCAATACGTGCCATAGGGATCAAACCCCATCACTGAACATGCTCACCCATTCATCTGCAGGAGAATTATAATGTGGCAGTCAATCCCCCTAAAGAGTAGCCCAAGTGTTGATGGTAAGTGGTATTGATTAGCTGCCTTCCCCATAATCCAACACTTCAAAATTATGGACAGCTAGCTGAGATAGCCCTTGAGTAGCTTTATGCAAAAATTTTGACAAAACAAACAAACAGTAAATAGTTTAATTTATGTAAAGGATCAACAGTTACTGTTACAAAATTTAACCACTGGTATTAGAGGTATACCGTGTTAGGTAGTGAGAGGTTAGCTATAACTTACATGCCGGATTGAACTATAAATGAACAACTCTTTAGAATTCACAGTTTGTCTTTTAAAATGTGTAATTTCTAATAATATTGATAAAGGTAAGGTAAATAATGTATATTTATACTTACATACACACCTAATGATGATTTTGTTGTGATATTCAGTGTATCATTTCCTTTTTAATTGTTTAACTTATTCCAATAATATAAACAGTGAACATGAGATAGTATTAATTTATCTTAATTTTGTATTGAAATATGTGCAGTGATTGAAGTGGACAAAATGCAGAACATTTTGAAAATAGCATAATTAATTAAGTCAAATTATTTAGCAAGACTTTAAATAGCTGCCTTTTGTCAGGAGTAAATGAATAACATTCAGTAAAATGTGTATACACTTACTTGAGGCTAGGGAATGGCCTAGCAAATCCAAGGATTCAAGTTCACATCCTCTTGCTGCAAAAACACATCTTGGGACTATGGGTGTGCTGTAAGAGTAGCTCGAGAGTTGGTGGTAGCTGCTGTTGACTAGCTACCTTTCCTCTAGTCTGTAAGTTCGAAATTAGGGGGCTGTGGTTAGATAGCCCTTGCGTGTCTTTGCATGAAACTTATAAGCAAAGAAAACAGGCTGTTGGATATCATTAAGTAAATGCTAAAGTTATAAAAGATATGTGTTACATATATATTACCATAGTTAAACAGTGGTGTAGCATTTAAGTTTTACAATGTTTAGAATGTAATCAGTGAAATTAGACTTTAAAAAAAAGGGAACACTAGTCATTAAAACAGTAAATTGTTTCATTTTACTGGAATTTTGAATTCAGAAAAGTACAGCAACTGCAACCAGAAAGGTGAGACTTAAGAAACAAAAACTGTCTACATGTCAGTCATCCCTGTTTCTAAAATTTGACAAATAATATACTGCAGAAAGGCATTGTACGAAGATAATTAATTGTTGAATTCGTAGCTTAATTATAAGTTGATGTTTCACTCTTTCAACTTCATTGTAAGATATTTAGTTCGGTATGAGATGTATTAAGATTCAGAGCAATAACTGAAATGCCTGGAAAGCCAGTATTAATTATTTTGTTTTTTTACTTGATATACTCAGAGAAAGTGTCTTAGGGTCTGCAATAAATATTATGGCTGCATTATTTGCAATAAATAATGCACTTTTTACTCTTCATAGTTTTTCTTGTAATTTCACATACTTTCAAGTTTCTTAAGTCTAGTTTGACAACATGTATGTTAACAATTACTCATTCACCCTCTTGGTTTTTATATTACAAAAATATATGTTGTTCTTTGAGGGTGAATAAAATCCACTGATGATTACCAAATAGAATATATTAATGATTGTCTGTCTTATGGCAGCTTTTGAGATTTTCTTTGTGCAGTTTTCTTTTGTTCTCAATAACTTACCTTTTTGAAGTACTTGTGTTAAGGTAGCTTTCTTCTGTATCTTTTATGGCTGAGATACCAAATTCAATCTTTTGATTAAAAACTCAACAGCTTTAATGGGTAAAATTAGATTTATTTAAAAGAATACGTACAATGTTTTAACCATGAGTGGTGCTGAACAAATGTAATACTTAGCATCAGATATTTTTTCCTCATGATCACGTTGTCTAATATATTGAAAAGAAATTAAATACTTGTGTTTAATAAAATCTAAACAGATGCAAGTATATTTTCATGATGAAAGAAGTTAATTGTGAATGAAAGGGGGAAAAAAACAAAACCTTTAACCATATCTGTGTGTTTCAAGTTTTTTGTTATTCATTCTTTATTGTTGTAGAATTTTATTTTAACAAATAGTATGATTATTTTAATAATCATGAACTTTAACATAAATTCTCTCTTTTATGACAAGTAACAAAGTATTATGAATTTATTGAATTATTGGAACACTATGTATCTTTTGTTGTGTATTGATGAGTTTCTTAGCCAAATTTCATCCATTTTAATCAATTTTTGATGCTATATTATAAATGGGTCTGTGAAAATATTTTGTTTCTCTTTAATTTAGAGCTCACACATGTTTTAATCGTCTCGATCTGCCTCCATATACATCATATGAAATGCTTTATGACAAGTTGTTGCTGGCTGTGGAGGAATCGAGCACCTTTGGAATTGAATGAAAAATAAACAACTTATCAGCTATAGCAAGTGTTTGAGGGCAGACCTAGCTATGTAGTTTCGTCATTAATTTCTGTGCTCTTATGTACAGTATTGCTGATGAATATTCTTTGCTAGATAGCAAGCATTGCAGACATTTATTGTTGGACAGTTTATTGTGATTTACTGTAAATGGCTGTCCTCAAGAGAAGTACATACAGCTTGACAATCTAGAATCAGTAACCATCTTTTTTCAGCTCACAGTATTATGCAAGAACTCAACTCCATTTCTAGTTCTGAAGCATGGGCTAGACTGCATCCTCTTGCACTGAAACATTATAATGTATATACACATTACATGTTATGGTTGATATTCCTGTCATCATAAAACTAATGTAGTGTAATAGTTGCTGCTCTGATTTTGTGCTGAAGAATTCTTTAACAAGGTAGTTTTCAAAAAGGGAAATTCAGCTGAGTGAAAATTGATACTACAATCATTTTTAAAATTGAGATTGAACTTCTAGTTGTTAATTCATTTATTGCCAAAAAAGATGCACGTTTTACACCAGTCATCAAGTAAGAGATTTGAAAATTTATGGTAGCCATTAAAAAGTAGAGAGAAAGAGAGATTGAAATTTCACACCAGTCATTAAATAGGTTAATTTTTCCAGCAGCTATGAGGAAACTAGTTACTGAGCTTTATATAAATCATAAGAAAGAAGGTTACAGTTTTGACAGCAGATTTTAAGAGAGTATGCTTGTATTCATCATCACAGAGGTGACAGTTTCACAGCAGCTATTAAAAAAAATGCTTTCAAGTTTTTCAGCAGCTGTCAACAGAGAGTTGCACTTTTTACTGTAACAATCAAGAAAGGAAGTGAAGTTTTAAGTAACCTTCAAAAAGTTATTGGAGTTTTACAATATCTATCTAGAAACAAGTTGACATTTTACAGTTATGGAAGAGATTGAATGTTTGCAACAGTCATCAAGGACTTTGTTGGAGTTTGACAGTATTCAGCATGAAAAAAATTACATTAATAAAGAAAAAATAAGTTTGGGATTTCCACTAGTCAGAAAGGAAGTAATTGGTTTTTACAATAGCTATTACAGAAACTTTGTAAGTTCTGTTAATTACTAGGTGAGAAATTGGAATGTAACCACATCTGTTAATAAATAACAGAAAGTTGATGTTTGTGAAGAAAAAAATATTATAAAGTTCTTGAACAAAAAAAATTCACAGTTCAGATTACACTGTGGAAGATACATTATACCTTGGGGTGCATTTCCATCTAACAATGTCTTGTTGTAGAGGAGAACACAGCGCTCTTGAAAGGTAGCTTAGAATTACAATGATTAGGTTATTTGAATCTATAATATGTGTATTTACAGATACAAACATATTTTGATTGTTTGGAAAAAAAAATCAAAGTCTTGGTATTAATCTTGAAACCTTTCATTATGCTTAAGACCAAGCACAAAACTCTTGACTTTATTTTTTTGCCTTTTGTTTCACAAAATATAGTGACCCATATATTTATTTGTTTTAGTTTTTATTTTCTGTTTACAACTTAAGTAGGTAGTCACTGACTATTCAGTTAGACTATTTAAAAGAAGCTCTGAAATTTCAAAATTTTAATATAATGATTGTGGTGGAAAAAGTCTCTTTTTTAAAAACTAATGTTTTTAAAATCAAGATCTTGCTTCAGTGGCTTTAAACATTATTTATTGATTCAACCTAATTTAAGCAAGGTGTTAGGAAATGGAAGAAAAATACTTATAATTACTATTGCATCCTTACCAATTTAAATCATAAATCTGTATGTCAGAAATTTAGCATACTATGGTACATCATTAAACGGTTGTCAAATTATGTAAACTAAATTAGCCACAAATATACCAGAATAAAGACGGAACCAGTTATAATACGTATATTTAAGTATGTCTGATAAAAATGAGTAATAATGACATTTCATGATACAGGAATAAATTGTAAATAATCAAAATATGTCTGCTAAAAACTGATTCTTCTTCGATGAAAGACTGTTACTGGAAAAGAGATATTCTTCTTCATAGATGTACCGTCGTAAATTTGTTTTTCATTATATTACTTTTTTCTTGTGGTGCATAACAGATTTTAAGTTAAATATGAACAAAGATATTGATTAACCTGTACTTTAATTCTACAAAAACAAAGCCATCTCTCGAGTGTAGTACATTATTATTTTAGTGATAATAAACATTAATATAGTGGTGGCAATTAAGTCAGTATTGAAAAACATAAAATAATTTTAATTTACTCATTTCCAAAGCCTGTACAATTCATTCTGATTTTTGCATCAGAATTTTCCAGTTAACAACACATTTTTTTAAATTATTGAAAATACTTTTTGAATTGTATAAACTAATGGTAGTTTGTTAATCTGTAGCTTTTGATTGTATAATCACCTTTGGATGTACTGAGAATTTTCCAGTTTTATTTGAGAGAAAAATTAATACTAATTGGTTTTGAATTAATCTGTCAGAAAGAAAGTAAATAATTTTGTTGTGTTTAAGATGTAAAGTTTGTGGAGAAAAACATCAAAGAAGGTTCTGGCTTGAATTTTCCTATTGCTGTTAAATTAATAACTACATGTTCTTGTATAAAACCATTCTTAAATTAAAATACCTCTCTGTATTGGAAATTGTGCTCTTGACTGAGACCTGTAGATGAATGTATTAAGTGTTGACCAAGTATATTTAGTTTATTTATGAAGTGATTTAAGCCACAAATTGTTCAAACAGTTTGAAATCTGTATGGAATAATCAACAACAAAAAGAGGCATTTTACATTTAAGCTCAGTCTTTACTGTAAATTTCAGCTGAACAAAAAAAGGGTTTTAATATGGAATCTTCCAGTTCTTTATTTTTATTTTGAATTAAATAGTTATTGGAAGCTAATTTTTTTACATTGACTTTCAAACTACATTATATAAGTGTTTGTTTCTCTCCAAATTTCATATTATTGGCATAACTTTTGCTGGAAGTCTCATATGATGAATCGACACTAGACGTTTCTGTAAGTAATTTTTAGACTGAATGTACAGCATGTAGTGTTTATATATGAACTGGATTTTCCTTTTTAACAAATGTTTTGACTGTTTATTGTGGAATTTCTTGGTATTTGCAAGTCACATTTTCTTGGTCTGTTTTGAGTATTTTTCTCTCTCTACTTTCTAATTTTATGAATTTTATACTTTTGAAAATGACAAATATTAGTATTCAGTTTTATTAAACATAATAATACTTTGAGAAGTTATGAGGGAATTTAATACAGAAGGTGTGATAAGTGTAGTATGTAGGAGTTGAGTTTATGATGATGTGATTATTAACAAAATTCACCCTTTAAACTTCCTTTTTTGTTCTTTGAAAATATAAAATTGAAGTTAATAAATATTGCATTAATGTCACTGTATGCATAACAATGTGGTTAAATATGTCACTCTGGAAAAGTTTACAGGTACATCAAAATAAGCATTCTATAAAATGGAACAATATCTTGATGTATCGTAGTTCTTAAGCTAAAAGTGCAAGGTCTGTCTGTAAAATTTAGAGTTTTGTAATAAAGAATTGTATCACAGATATTTGCTTTGCTTTAAAATTTTGTCTTTTAATTATTTATTGTTTTGTAATTATGAAAATTTAATGGTAATTACTATGACTGCAATTGTTAACCAGTAATGATCGTGCGTGAGGATTTTTTATTTAGTATGATCTAACCATATTTGTCATAATATAGATTATAATTAAAAAACAAGAACAAAATGAAACATCTGAACTATTGTAAGCTACTTTTCAGAACAACTAGATTTGTAATTAAGTTGTCAGAGGTATCATGAATACCCAGTATATTTATCACTTTTACTACGATTTTAGAACATTGCCAAAAGTTGATCCTGTTTTAAACCATGATATTCCGTAATATGTAACAATATACAGAAACAAGCCTTTACATTATTAAATTCACTGACAATAAACTTCAACTAATTGCAACCGATTATTACGCTGGAAGTTTACTACTTGTATATATATATCTTCAAGAAAACTTAAGTCAGTTTAAAATTGTAAATGGCAATTTAAATGTTTCATGCCCAAAATCACGATTAGGTTTCTGTAATGAGTCCTTATCCGGGACAAGAACTAATCCAGAAACAACTCAAAAGAGATTGTGTAGCTCTGAGTCAAGTCTTGATTCTCAGATTCACCAAAGTTTTGGTAAGAAAATCCCAAAAGTTTGCACTTGTAGTATATACAGTTAAACCAATACAGCACTTGTGGTATATATACGGTTAAACCAATATAAATAGTGAGAAATGTAAATGCTTCCTTTTGTATATTCTGTGATTTTTAGTCTTGTTATGAAAAAGAATAATTTTGCGGGTCCTCTTCATGTTAAAACTTGTGAAGAACGTAACAGTTTGTATATAGGGACTGAAGACACGCAACTATCAAAAAAGAAGCATTATACGTACTAAAAAGGAAGTATATTATTTTATATGCAAGCCTACTATTTATGTTGGCAAATATTAATTACACGAGCCGAGCTATTTTAAACACTCATTCTGCCAAGAATGTTTGCTTTTTGCCTTCTTTACTTAACTTAATATTTCTACTACATATAGTGTGAATCCCTCCTTTAATTTTTCCATGAAAATTCACTACCTGCCAAACACTTCAATGTTGAAGTTGAAACATTATTGAATTGTATTAATGAAAATGGCATGTATGCCTTATAGGGGATGTTTTGTGAGAGCCAAGACCTTTGATTGACCTGCCTGTCGCACACGTATGTTAATATGAGTGTGTGTGTATGCGGGATCACTGGTGATCTACAACTACTGCATCAGTTGCAATTGTTTACTGTATATTTTAAAGAATATGCCCTTAAATGGCAAATAATGACCATTCTCACTCGGATTGCTTCTTTACATAAGAGACGATATAAATAATTTAGAACTTTATGTCTGATGACTTGTGCTTTAATGAAACTATTTAACGAAAAAAGTAATTTTAATTCACCTGTTTTTAAAACTGTTCACAAATCTAAATCTTTTAACAGTCGAAGAATAGCCTTAATTTGCCGAAAATATCTTAAAATTACATTCCCACAATTACAGCTAATATATAATGAGATAATTGTATGTGAAACCCACCTCCAATTACTCTAGTTAACGTGTATGTTTCACCAACCTTACAACCCAATGTAGAACTATTACAGAACATATACAACGTGTATCCCAATATTATCATCATTGGCGACCTTAACACTAAACATAAAGGTTTTAATTGTCTCACTATCAATGCAAATGGAAAAATACTAATTAAATTTTTAGAAAATAGTAATCTAGTCACTATTAACTTTACTGACATGACTCGCACACAAGACATACTAGACTTGGCTATTGTTCCCACAGCTTTAGATCATCATAGTTTTAACCTTCAAGTACACGATAATATAGGTGGAGATCACAACCCTACTTCTTTTAACACGTACCCTGATCGTAGCAGCACTAACCGTCAGCAGTCACTAATTTACGAATACTCCCACATTGATTGGATAACCCTTAATAAAAACATTATTGAACGTTTACATCAACTAAGACATGCCGCTACGAATCACTCCGATGTAGATGATTATGCAAATGAGATCACTAATACAATAACGCTGGCGATCAAGGAAACGCTCCCAGGCAAAACACGCAATCCTGATCACAGATCATAGAAACTTACTCCTGAAATTCATGAATAAAGTTTAAACAGAAGTCAACTCGGACGAGAGTTTATTCGCTCCCCGCGATCCCGCTTTAAAACCTTTAATCAACAATAACAACTATCGTATCAAAAAACAATTGGGAACAATTCTGTAAATCTATAGATAATTCCCAACCTGGTCCCTCATTATTCTGGAGAAAATTTAAATCTATCACCAGTACGAAGTTTAATAATAATATTCCCAAGCTGCAATATAACAACGTCACAGACACGTCTGACAACGAGCAAGCTGAACTGTTCGCCCAGTATTTTAGAAACACCTTCGTGACACCCAATCTCGCCTCTTTCGACTCAATCACATTTTAATAATGAAAACGACCATATTCACAACAATCCTAACATATTCACACCTAGTTCCCTGTCTCAATAACACAAAACAATCAAGTCTCGAATTTATTCCCGCGTTAAATATCACGAACTGAAATAAAAATAAATTTAAAGAAGATTAAACGTAAGGCGCCCAGGGAAGACGGTATAAACAATATGATTATTAATCACCTTTCAGATCCCGTTTTAGTAGACCTTGTTGTGATATACAATTTATCTTTGTAATCAAAATATTACCCAGCAACATGGAAGTCAGCAACCATTAAAGTTTTCCTCAAGAAAGATAACGATCAAAGTAACCTTGGCAACTAAAGGCCTATTAGCTTACTTAACACTAGGAAAGTTAATGGAAAAGCTTATAACGAGCAGGTTTAATTCATACCTTGAGACCAACAAGATTCTCAACAACAACCAAAATGCGGGTAGAAGAAACAGACAGGTTTCAGATCACCTCGTTAGACTGACTAACAGAATCAATTTATCAAAGCCTTAACAGAAAACATACTACTATAGCTACCTTTCTGGACGTGCAGAAAATACTTGACTCCGTGTGGCATAATGGTTTGCGTTATAAATTACACAACATTGGTGTACCTATCCCAATTGTACGTTGGATGTCAAGTTTTCTCACCGATTGTACCACCACAGTCTATATTAATTAACAATTCAACACCGCACCCTTTTACATTAGGTTAACAACTCGCTATTACAAACGCAACTCTCAAACACAAGAATTCTCCCAAATTACGGTCAGCCCAACCTCCGGGATCAGATACCTATCACCTTTAAACTTGATTGAGAATCTTAAGAACACTAATTCACAGGCCACTTGAGTTACAAATCACCTTAACTGTTATTTCATGTTTATACCTATTATCCAAGTTATTTATTTTCAGCCTCGAGTCTCGAACACTGGGCAGATAGATTATTCGGCGCCTGCTTCAGTGAAAGTTGGTTTTTCTTGGGGTACTCCCCCACACACACACACACACAGCCAAATTTTACCTTCAATTTTGTGATCCCAGCCCTCAAAAGGTTTCCGTTCCGCGTTAACAATATTTCTGTTTGAGTTTATTGTTTATAAATAGTAATGTATAGTTCAACTTTAATATCCTTTAATCTTAATTTTTTCAAGTCTTATTTTATTATGTGACTCATATTCACGTTAGTCATTATCCAGAAACTGGCTACTTCTGTCTTCTTGTTTTCGGTTCCTGACTTTCGGCTCTGACTCTCACAGCTTTACCGGATGTCTTGAGGCTCTTCATTAGTCACGCTTAGTATATATTCTCGCCATGCTTGTTTATCATCATCCCATGAGTTAAACGTTCACACCCCTTCATTTAAACTTAATTATGCTACAAAAGGTTTTATTTTCCTTAGTGTCTGAGCGCACCTGGCCAGGCATAGCCAGGTGGTTAGGACGCTTGACTCGTAATCTGAGAGTCGCGGGTTCGAATCCCCGTCCCACCAAACATACTCCCCCTTTCAGCCGTGGGGGCATTATAACGTGACAGCCAATCCCACTATTCGTTGGTAAAAGAGGTGGCGATGGGTGGTATGACTAGCTGCCTTCCCTCTAGTCTTTCACTGCTAGGTTAGGGACGATTAACGCAGATAGCTCTCGTGTAGCTTTGCGCGAAATTCAAAACAAACAAACAAACTGAGCGCCCCTGATTGTTTATCAAGCCGCTTCTGGGCTTATTAGATTTTAAAATCATAATACCTGCCAAGTCTATACGAATACGGACCTGTGCTTTCTGTTTGAAGTTCAAGATGAACAGAAAATAGAAATTTCCGTACATTTGACAAAATTGCTGTATATTTAGTAGCCACTAACCACTGATCCACTTGATGTTACAGTCGTCATCTTTATAATGCAATTTAGTTTTAAGCTTATGCTGTGTTTTGGTTTTTAGGGTTGTACACTATATTACCAAAGTAATTATAACGGATTCATTTCGTTGTTGGTTAGGGTGTTCCACTTGCAATCTACGGGTCGCAAGTTCAAACACGCCCCCGAAAATGCTCGCCCTTTCAGCCATAAAAACATTATAATGTTATAGTCAATCCTACTTTTCGTTGGTAAAGGAATGGCCCAAGAGTTCGCGGTGGGTGATGTTGACTAGGTGCCTTCCTTTTAGTTTATCACTTCAACATTAAAGACGGCTAGCACAGATAACCCTCGAGTAGCTTTGCGCTAAACTCAACAAACAAACATCGTTCATGCATTTCATATGGTTTTAAACTTAGCCACTACTCGTATCCTAAGGATGTCAAACCTACTACCACTCCTCGTATCCTAAGGATGTCAAACCTTCTGCCACAACTCGTATCTTAAGGATATCAAACCTTCTGCCACTACTCGTATCCTAAGGATGTCAAATCTTCTGCCACAACTCGTATCCTAAGGATATCAAACCTTCTGCCACTACTCGTATCCTAAGTATGTCAAACCTTCTGCCACTACTCCTATCCTAAGGAT